CAAAATGGAGGCGGGCGTGGGGTGCCCGGGGCTGCTTCCGTGGGCGAGGGTGGCGGGCAACGGGGGAGGGCGGGCAGCCCGCGGGAGAAGGGTAGCGTGAAGGAGAAAATCCCAGCAAGGCGTCCTGAACTTGAATTGTGTTTCGGGAGGCCTGACGCATTTGACAGGTTATCTGGCAGTCCCCGGGCTTTTCCAAAATTCGCTCGGGTCGTTTTTCTAGGGAACGGTGTTGATAGAAATCACGCCTGTGTTTTAATACTCTCTGAATTCCCAGCCGCGTTTGTGTAAACCCATAACACAATCCCGCATGGGAAACTTCGGGGGGGGAAAAAAAAAAAAAATCCCGTGGGCAAAATAATTAGTAGGACAGAGCTCTGCATGAAGAGGGATAGGTGTTGTGCAGGCAGTTGTACAGCGCACATCATACTGGTCGGAGCTCTGATTAAATTGGAATCCTTGAAATGCATCAAAGTGTGGTGACAGCGCTTGACACGCGGGTGAGGAAGTCACTTGCCAACTGCAGTTTTAACTCTAAATGATCTTCGCAGAAACGCGGCCGGCTCAGAAGAGCACGGTGCTACGTGAGAGCATCTTAATGCTTCAGCATTTACTGCAGTGCACGTTGCAAAATGATTCTCCACCACGTTTTAGGCTTTCTGAGAGAGGGAAAGTTCTAATATGCCAGCTGTATTAGAAAGGGGGCCTCCCAAACGTTATTTGGAAACACCTCGTGAGAAGCAGAAGTTGGGAACTGTGTTACGATTCTCTTTGCTTATGGATATTTTTTTTTTTGGTACTTTAACGCTTGAGAGTTTTTTCCGCGTGAGGGAATGCAGTAATTTGTCCCGAGTGGCAATTTGCTGAGCCGGTGTCCTGGAAATAGTAGTCAGATACAGAATTACGGTGTTGTGTCTCAGGAGATGAACCTGAAACACAGCAGCGGCTTTGGCCAACACAAGAGAAGGCAGAGGGGTTTTGGCAGGGCTAGCAGCCCATGTTTACCTCCTGGTTTTCACGTTCATTTTCAAGAACAAGCACCGCTTCACTATGAAAAAAATATTTCGTGGCTTATTATAGTAGTGAAACAGAGAAAGTCAGGCCTGTTTGTGCAGCAGTGTGCATGGAGCACTGTAGTAAACAAAGCCACTTCCCGGCTTGAAAAGGTCTTTTTTTTTTTGGTGTGGGATGATAGTTCTAACATTATAACGATGTTTGATGCCATGGTATCAACGGGGTTGGTTTCCTGGGTGAGTGTGGTGCAGTTTAAAGCTACTCCATTGCTCTGTAAAGGTGCAGATTATTTGACTGGTGGATTACCAGTTCAAAGTTTTGTGATACTTATGAAGAAGAAACAACTTGTATTTTTTGTTAGGCTTCACGAGGAACCGGGTTTTTCTGAGTGCAAGGTGTTGAACTCGAAATTCAAAAGACGTGGATTATTCATTCCAGTTCTGCAGCATACCTCCTGTGTGACACTGGCCTGTTCGATTTCCTTGCTGAGCTTTGCCTCTTAAAATAAAATGGTAGTCCTTAGTGTTAGAGTCCTTTTCAAAGTAAATGTTAGTGGGTTTAACCCCTGTGTTTCCTCGGGGAGTAAGGATTCCTTAGCAAGCAATGTATGTCATGCAAACTTCACGTTAAGTACAGCTTGTAAGGCAAGGAAGACATTGTTCATTTGGGTGTGTTGGCTTGGATATCATTACAACTGTAACTTCTTTAGCCCCACCCAATATGACATTGCTTGTTAGGCAGGAATGTATTCCTTTAAAAAAAAAAAAATTAAAATTTGGCAGCTTTTTAATTTGAAAGATAGTTCACAATTCTTGAGCCAGCCTTGGTGGTTTGCTTAGTGTTTTTTCCCTAAACATTTTAGCAGGGAAATAGTACAACAGAGGAGGAATGTGTTTGTCGAGATCTTTCTAAAGAAGAGTAAACAGGCCTTTGAGATGAGTGGAAAAGAAAACTGTATGTAAGATCCTTCTGATGTCTTAGTGAAGAACAGAATGCCCATGGGGAGTTATTATCTAAAAAAAAAACACCTTTCAGAAGGCAGAGAGAGGGAAGAACCCTACCCGGTTGAGTGGCACGGTGTATTCTTAAGCTATTTTAAGTGCGTGCACAACGAGGTGAGTCTTTGTCAAGGAGCTTGTGTTGGGCTGCGAGAGTTGATGTGGGTGCACACACTGTTTAGTCACGGACCACTACCTGCTCTGCTGGGGTGCCAGCGGCCCCTCTCTGGGTGAGGGTGGCCCTGCCCCTGGTCGTGCTGCTGGCCAGAAATGTTTCCGAGAAGAGTGCAGGGGGATGAAGCGGGGTGGCTGTCACAGGGATGTGGGCCCGGCGTGGTGATGCTGGCTTCATTTTGGTGTGCATCCAAATAAAAGGCACTTGCTTTACCTAGAAAGCCCCTTTCAGCAGAAGGAGGAAAAAAAAGTCTTGCTTGCCTTGATCCTTTTTTGAAAGTTGTCCCATCATTTTAGCACAGATGACCAACATATTTTGTGCTCTGACAGGTTAAGTAAAACTTCAATTCCAGTTTACCTTCAGTATTGTTTTAGGGTGTTAAGTCAGTATCTCTCCCGGCGCAGCTCCACAATCCGTTGATGTGTTTTTGCCTGATGTTTCAGGGATAAGGCGTATTGGCAGGAGGCCTGATCAGCAGCAGCAGCAGCAACAGCAGGGTGAAGGCAAGCCTATTGACAGGAGACCGGAGAGACGACCTCCTCGTGAGCGCCGCTTTGATAAACCTGTCGATGAGAAAGGCGAAGGAGGAGAATTTTCCGTTGATAAGTAAGAATTTTGTCTCATCTGACAACTTTCCGAATTTTGATAGGAAGGGGCTGTCCTGCCTTCTGTTACTAAGTTAAAAAACAAACAGCTGATTGAATCAAAACTAAACTGATCAAGTTAAATTTTTGTCAGTCACAAGAAGAGCTTATATCTTGCAGGCTATAATGCTTTTCTTCCCTTTCCCGTGATTTTGTGATGAAATCATTTCAAGTTTTAGACTGGGAGTGATCTGATGAACAGTTCCATTGGTGTAACTGGAAACACAGTTTAAATCAGTAAGCTATCCACCATATCTCTCTAAATCTATAGCAGATTGCACAGGAAAGGAACTCGGGTATAGCTGGTGCCTGCAGGATGAGATTTGTTTGCTGTTACAGCTGTTGCTTAAATCCCTACGCCTGATTTCAAGCCAATAAAAGTTTGTCAGTGTAGGTGTTCACACCTTGGTTGCAGTGGCTGCAGATCTGGAAGACTTGAAGCCATCTTAGGTCTGGGCAAGATTTAAACTGTCTTGAGTATCACGAGGGATCCAGAATTCAAGTGTTTTGAAAGTAATGTTCAACTATTAATATTTTAGTAACCAAAGTTAAAACCCTTTTAAAAATAAGTTGGATGGATGTGAGTGAAATTGAAATTGTAGTATCAGCTAGTTATGTAACACGACACAAACATGAAATTTGAAATTCAGTGCCAGAAGATGGAAACAAACAGTAATCCTGAGCATTTGTTTCTAGATTCTGAAATGTGGCCATTATATATGTGGATTTTTTTCAGTGTAATAATTTGGCGTTGAAATTAGAGCCTCGGCACAGTTACGACTAGTAATTACCAAAGAAAAAGTAAAGAAAATTCTCAAAAGAGGAAAAGAAAATCTTAAAAACCATGCTGTAAGTTTTTGGAGGTGAAATATTGACATTTGCCTGTTCCATGCTTAGACCCATTATTGACCGACCTATGCGTGGACGTGGTGGACTTGGAAGAGGCCGTGGCCGTGGCCGCGGAATGGGCAGAGGAGATGGGTTTGACTCTCGTGGCAAACGCGAATTTGACAGACACAGTGGCAGCGATAGATCGTAAGTCTTTAACTTTTTCTATTGTTTTTTAGCTATTCTTTACAATTAATACACATTTTAAAATTTGCTTTTGAATTTCTGTATCTGGACACTATAATGTTAACTCAGTTTTGTTAGTTCTGTTTCACATTCACATTTCAGCGGCCTAAAGCATGAGGACAAGCGTGGTGGCAGCGGATCACACAACTGGGGAACCGTCAAAGACGAGCTAACGTTAGTAATCTGTAATTACTCAGAAAACTATTAGCAGAATATTAATAAATCCTAATTCTTACAGTTTGCAAAATGTAAAGATTTAGCTGCCTTTTTCTGCCTTTGATTTTGATAGTTTTTCCTACGCTATTAAAGCAGCCTTTGCAGAATTTAGAAAATGAGCAATTTCTTGTTAACACAAGAAATGGCTTCACTGTTAAAACCAGAATTTTGGGGAAGTTTGGGATGGGGCGTCGTGTGCTGGGCTTCGAACAATTCTTTTACTAAAAATAGAACAATTTTAACAATTTTGATCAGGTTAAGCATGCTTTTCCACGAGTATTACATTGAAACCAGTATTTTTAATACCCAAATCCACGTTGTGTCTCGGGGTACAGCGGGAGGATTTTAGAACGGGTACTAGCAAGTGCTGAGGGAAACTATTAAGGAAGGGGGAAAGCATAAGAGTTTAAGACACAGAGAGCACCAATCCCTAATGAAATAGTTCTTTTTAAAGAAGAGTGGGTTGTTTAAATCCAGTGGAGAACTTAGTCATTAATATTATGTAGCTTTAAATAGGGATGAACTTTTTAAAAAACAAAACTCCAAACATTATGTAATTGCAGTGAATTGGATCAGTCAGCTGTAACTGAGGAAACGCCAGAGGGAGAGGAACATCCGCCTGCTGATTCTGAAAATAAGTGAGTATCACCCCTCTTAATGTTCTTCGATTGCTTCAGAGGTAATATTACTTTGCCTTTAACCTTTGATATTTATTCCTACTTCTGTTTTGCCAAACTGAAGTTATATTTTCTTCAATACATACGAAATTATCCACAATGCCGCTGAAAAACAGTCTCTTTAAAACTGCACATCTAAAAATTGTAATCTTGTAACTGTTTATTAGTGTCATGCAGGCTCTTAATTCACTTTCAGATTATTAATAATCAGCTCTAATACGCTTAGAGTCTCAGGATTGCAGCTCTGGAGTACCAAATCCAAAAGCATCTGTGCTTCGGGCTAGGTAGAACACCAAGCAAAAGGAAGAAAATATTCTTCTGCCAGTGGAGGGCAACTTTTTTTTTAACCATAGTTTGTCAAAACGGGTGTTGAGCCTGTGTGACTTGCCTCTTGTGGCGCTCTCATTCTCCAGCGTTGGTGTATGCAGGCAGATTGCACAGAAGTTAACTTGATTGCTTCTCATTCCACTTGGACACTGTTACAGAAGAAACCCGTGACTGGGTGAATGAACTAGAGTAACTAGAGAAGCAGAATGAGCAGTAGTAGTACTTATAGTGCATGTAAAAACATGATACAAATTTTTATGGTAGCGTAGTACAATAAAACGTATTTTAGTGAGGAATGTGCTTTATGGGAGATTCAGAAGAAAATGGCAAACATAAGATAGACTTTTGAAATACTGGTTTGCACAAGATTTCTAATGTGGAGTTTGCTATAGCTTGTTTAACTCATTAATAACTTTGGTTAGTGGTAAAGAGGGTGCAATTACTGCATAAATAAGAAATGGATTTAGCTTGACTAAAAAGAAGTCTAAATGCTGTTACTCCTTAAAGGTCGTGGTGGTCCAAGATTAAGGTCATCTTGTATACAGAAGTAGTTATGAGTATTTTTAAGGAATTACAGCTTGAGCATTGGTCAGAAGATACAAACTAGCTAGTCCTTAAAAAAATGACATGTATTGGAAATCTGGATATATTAAATACACAGTGTCTCCAGTATTTCCTGGATCATTATTAGCAGCAGTGTCCTGGTGCTTGACCAGATACTGACCCATCTGTGTGCAGATCAGTTATCTGCAGGCTGTTTCTGTGTTTGTTTTCTTCTTCCACGAATCTGCAGAAAATGCCTATTCTTCTCAGTTTCTAGCATAACACATCTGTTGTAAACCATCTTTATAGAAAACTGTCTTTACATGGGCTAGTTTTCAGGTTGTCTAGTTTGGTGTGGATCTCTAACATAAATGTTTCAGCAGAACTGCAGGACGTTTTACTGCAGTAAAATGTGCAGAATGCTGAGGGGTAATACGCTTCTTGAATGTATGTCCTGTCAAAAATGATTGTCCTACACAATGAGGAAAAAATTGAAGTAGTAATTTGATGTAAAACCTCTGTATTATTACATCAAAATTAATGCCTGCAAGTTGAAGACCTTTTCTCTTGGGTTAAGGCTTTCTTGATCTCTTTGCTGCACATACGTGGCACTAGCTTTCTATAAATTGGAAATTTAATTGCATAAACACACTGCAGAATGACAGGACGAGGATTACCGCCTGTGTAGTTGGAACATGATCTGTTATTGAGCATAGTGGTTGTGTGTTTGACTTAAAAATAGCTCTTTGGCAGAAGGTAGAGGCACCAGCGATGCACAATGAGGTGGTACATCACACAAGTGACTAAGTTGTACGCTGTTGTTTTTTCAAGTTAGCTGGAAAGTTAAAATGGTTTCAGTTAGCTGGGAAGTTAGTAATTGTCTTTGGTTCAATAAAGGAAACAAACTCTCCAAAGCTGATTAAATCCTGTTTTTTAAAAAACTAACAAGCTTGAAAATTATGGTAAGAACAATCTCCCTCTCACTGACTTAACTCAAACCTTTGGGAGAGACGCATCTCAAAAAGGTGTGTGTGTGGAGATTCCAAACAAGTCTGTTGCAGAAGTTAGGCTTTCATATTTGTAAAGAAAATTGTCATTAATGTGGAGAATAGACAGCATGGAACACTGTTAATTTTAACATTCTGCTGTGTTGTGGTCGCCATTTAGTTGCTTAAAGGTGTATCTGGCTGTGATTTTTTTCCCCCCACACACACTCTGGCTAAAGGAGATGAGTCTTCCTCTGTGGTTTCTGAATGGAAGGGTTTTTATGCATGCTTCTTAACTGCTAAACACCTGACAAACTTTTTTTTTTTTTTTTAATTCTGGTGCTCAATAACAACTGCTCTTGAATTTGTTGTATCTAGAATGTGAGTTGTAAGCCATGATAATAATATCCATGAATTCACTACAGAGAGAATGAGGTTGAAGAAGTTAAGGAAGAAGGTCCTAAGGAAATGACCCTGGACGAATGGAAAGCTATTCAAAGTAAGGATCGTGCAAAAGTTGAGTTCAACATCCGTAAACCAAATGAGGGTGCTGACGGGCAATGGAAAAAAGGATTTGTTCTTCACAAGTCAAAGAGCGAGGAGGTAAAGTGATTTTTCAATACTTGCTGATATCCAGACTGTAGGTCTCTTCTATTGATATGCACTTCTTGGAGTGGAAGCTCCATTCTTCGAGATGCTGACCTGTAGCTAAAAGCTTATAAAACAGGAACGATATTTCTCTCAAACTGAAGTGGTGCAGCAGCATGAGTAGCTGTTCTTACTGTGGTTAGTTTTAGCAGTTGATTTCTACCCTTCGGTTGGTGTGTACTGGGATAGAATCTAGAGATAGGACTGGAACACTGCAGCATCTGGGCAGGTAACTTTGTAAGGACTGTCTCTTGGTGAGCATTTCAGAAAAAAATTGTCAATACCATGTTTATTTGATTTTTTTAATTTAAAGGAAGCTTCTGGTATTTAGCATCTCTGTCTTAGGCAGTACACAGATTTATGGTGCGTGCTAAATGTAAGACTGAAGTTGTGCCTCAGACACCTTAATGCCTGAACTGTATCTTACGGTTGTAAGTCTGTAAACTGTATATCTTAGGGTACCTTCTCATTTTGTAATATTACATAGACAAGTCTCATTGAAGCTTTTGAGAAACCAGGTGCAGTACATTTGTATACTTCAGCGATACTCGACGTCGTTGCTGTAGAATTCCTATAAAGTTGTTGTTTCTCAAGCATATGCATTTCAGTCATTGCAAAATTTTAATTATTCAATTCCAAGATAGTGTGAGAGTGGCAGGGAGAGCCGTCCTCTTCAGAAGGGGGAGGAGGTGCTGAGAGCTCTTGTTTTCTCATGCAGGGCTGCATTTAGTTGTCTTTTTATTTTTCTTTGTAACCGTGTAAGTGACCCACTGTTAATCTCTGCCCTGCAACTTTGTATAGCAGATGGTTCTGACTCTCTTTGAAGTGACTAAATAGTATGTAATAGACTGTTCACTCTTCTACTATGTATTCCTGCTTTTTCACACTTTGTCAGTTGTTTCTGGTGAGCTGGGGAGACACTACTTTCAAATGAAATTTCCATTTCTAATCTCGTTGAACTGGGAGTGAGTTTGACTTTGTGGCAAACATGCTGTTTTATTTTTCTTGTTGTGAAAGGTAGTTTGGTTCTTTAAATGATTACATATCTTCTTGTTTACTTAAACTGCTCAGTGTTTGGAGTGTTCATTAAATACTGCTTTCTCTGGCTTGTGTAGAAAAGGGAAATCAAGTTAGACTTAGTGTTGCTGTGTATTAAGAGTATATTTAAACAGAAGTATTTATGTACTTTACCAAGATTTACTAAACCTGTAGCCCTTGAAGTGTTCCCCCCAGCCTCCGTCCCTCCAAAGCAGATTTATTTGACATGTAATCAGCTAAAGACAGTCTTTTTTAAATACATTTGCATGTATGATAGTATAAGATGATGGTGCTATTGAGTAATTAAGAAGCTAGAAAGATCCATGCTGTATTTTCCATTTGAAAAATGCATAAGTAGTTAACTCAAAACCCCCAACCAATACCAATGAGAATAACAAACCAAATAACTTCCATGGAAGAACTGAAATAATCAGTGGATTTTTGTATTTGAGAGGTGTAACTTCTCTTAAAAACATCTGACTCTTTTTTTTTTAACACAGTCACGTAGGAAGTTAAGAGTTCCTTGCTGTATAAACACAGAAGTGAGATATTAACAAAACTGCCTTTAAATCTGGATGCTTTTAGCCTGCTTTTGTATGTCCTGCAGATGTGTCTCCCCATTTCGCTCATTGTTCACTGATCCCTTGGGAAGCAGCATGTTGTTTTTTTTTCTTTTTTTGGCAAAGTATTGCAGCAGAACAGCTCTATAATATGGGCGTTAGGAAAGTCTTCGCTGCGGCTCTTCTGTGAGCAGGTTTAGAGGGTGACATATTTAGAAGTTGTGAACAAAACCTACCAATCCCCTGCTGTTCTCTGTTTGTCCTCTCAGACATACTTATGAGTCATGAAATTAAGGCTGATGTAAGGTTTCTGTCATCTTTACTGATAGGGAGTTGATGTGTGGAATGAACTTGGCTTATAGGTAAACTCTTGATTTTGGACCCAGATCTTCTGTACTCTTATGGCTGAAAAATCACAATTTGCCCCAGTAGATTTTCTCTGAAATTCAGATTGAAGCATCGTGATGACCACCCTCATTCCTGTAGCTTGAGAACTATGGGGAGAATGTGCTGGGAGTCGGTGGGAAAAGGGGGTATGAGCATCTACTGCTGTTCATCTGCCTTAGTCTTGGGAAAGAGCTGTCTTCCTCTTCCTCCTTGTGCTCTTCACTGAGGGTGAAACGCTTGAATCTATCACAGCAGGTCTTTCCTCTTTTTCACATTGGCTGCGCAGTTACTGGAAAGTGATATTTTGTATAAAATGCACTTTTAATACTGTCTCAGATTCTTGCTGGTTTAATGGGAAATCCATGTGTGGTGGCAGCCCGACTCTAATGAGGCTCTTCCCAGGAGATTGGGTTATGCCATAAGTGATCCTCTTTCTTCCTCCTCCGCGGCTGGTTTAGTGGCTTTGTGTCTTCTAAGTTCTGTTGGTGCAGCTGAACAAAAAATTAGAGTGAGTTACATTGTGGAGAGATCTTAAAATTTGTTCAGAAAGTTGGAAACAAGTCTCCTGGAAAGATTGATACCCTGGTAGCTCAGTTCCTACTCTCTGTATCTGCTGTGCCGTGCCTCTTCCCTGTGCCTTCAAACTTTCTTGCTAATCTAATCGCTTCCTTAGAGGAGGTTGCAGTGGGAGACTGAGAAATATGTTTTGGAAAGAATAGCTCATCTTAAAATTTGGAAGAATGACTCTTGAATGAGGCTGTGCAGAAACCTGTTCGCATGAATTATAAACATCCCACCCTCTTACCTGTCCAGTTCTGTGCGCAGCATACCCGATGTAGTGAGAGATCAGCCTGCCTACGTGGTCTCTACTAGAGTTTCCAGCAGCCTGTGTTAAACGTTTTTTGGTATCGATCCGAGATTTCTCTTGTCTCCACGCCTGTGGTATAGTCCATCCTCTAATCTTCCTGGATGCTTGCACAGCTGTTGATCTCATCCTTTTGCTGCTTCATGTGCTCAGTGACATCTGTATCCAGCAAGTTCATGTGACCTTATTACCTGTTGTTTCTGTATGTAGTTGAGTCTCATTTCTTCCTTTTGTTTTCTCCCTTTGTTCCTTTTGTCACTTTGGCGTGGACACGCAACTTTCATCAGACAAAGGCGATGACAGAAATGCAGGGGAGTCTGCTGGAGTCAAATGAGGTACTGATCCTTTATATCTAACTGGTAATACCTGTGTTTTAATATGAGCCCCTTCTGCAGTGAAGGTCTGGATATTAAGAAGTCACAAAAATAGAGAATACAAGTAGATTCGATATGGAGCTCTTCTGTCCATGCCTGTTGTCTAACTGCATCATGTAGGAGAACCCTTCATGATGAGTACCCTTGCTCCTAATTGAGCTGAATTCAAACCTTACCATAAATGCTTCTATCATGAGTCTCTTTATTTTTTTTGTTGCTGCTGTTGTTTTTCCATACCTCACTGTCTGCTTTGGCCCCCCCTTTCTGTTAGTAGCTTGTTCTTAACTTTTGACAGCCTTCCCCAAGACCTGTAAGTGCAGCAATGCCTTCACGACGCTGTTGGTTATTAGATCAGGGCACTGCTGAGAGTTGCCAATACATATAAATTAAAGGCTTCCAAAGGTGATTCAGAATAAGCAGTTTGTACAGTACGACAATGACTTTTGTCACCCAAGCGATAGCAAGAGGATGAGGAGCATGTGCCAAGTCTTTTATTGGTGTCTTACATTAGATGTAGTTACGTTGGATAAAGAAATCATCGGGTTACATACAGAATTTGGTATTTGTTGCTTTAGTGGTTAAATCAAAGTGGTGAAAATGCAACGGTTTTGGTAGACTGCAGTGTTTCTTTTTTAAGCAGTAACAGCATAGGGGAGAAAACGTGCAGGACTTGTACAAATCGACTGATAGTACCTCTCACAAAAGAGAATGTCATATGACCAGTAAGTTGAAAACATAATCTCAGTACCCTGCAGTGATCAAAACTGTAGATAAAATATTAAGTAGTAAGAAAGAAATCAAAACCGCAATGGAAGGGTTTGTGTATATGGTTTTACAGATTGTTGGTGTACTTAACATATGAGGAGTGCCATGTCAGGCTGAGATGTAGAATGACTTTTCTGGGAAAAATAACTGTGTAGGCTAACTTCCTAAGTTGGAAAAGAGATCTCTGAGGGCAGGGTGTGCAGTTCAAATCCCTAAAATGGGGAGTGGGTTGGGGACCGGTTGTTACACGGAATACATCCCAGTGAAACACGTTTGAAATAAAGCGCGGGGAGGGGTAGTTCTCATTTTGCTTAATTAAATTGCAGTGCCCTCCACTGCAGGATGTTGTGGAGGCCAAATGTACAGCTGGGCACGGAAAGAGATAATTAAATTGGTGGGGGAGAGAAGGTTCTTGATGGCTCTTTATGTTATGGTGCTTGTGACTGACTCAAGGAATCCCTGAAAGCATCTTTCAGCCTTTGGACTGCAGACCTCTGTATATCCATTGGCTGCCCTATGAAGGATCCACAAACTGTAATTAAAGGGTAGAGGGCTTAATTGCACAATATGCTGCCTTTGAAAGTCAGTGTGTTATGTAATTAATTAGACCACAAAAAAAATAAGTTGGAGTCAGGAGGCCTAAGCTTGCACATGGCACTTGTGTAGGAAAAAAGAAAAACTGGCAACTGCTGTGCCAGAAGTTAGGGCTCTATGGGAAAAGAAAGCATGGCATGTTGTTTCCAAAACGTGGTGGCTGGGCCTTGTAACAGGCAGAGTCCTGGGCTAGATAAGCCCTCGCTCTGATCCAGTGTGGTCAGTTCTGCGTTTTTGTGTATCGTCATAGGTGCCAAAAACTGACTGACCACCTGGAAAAATAATTTGTAAGAAAAAGAATTCCTTTAAAAACTCTTGGTGGTTCTTGTGTTCAGTGTGTGATAATTTGAAATACTCAAATGTGCCGAATAGTAGCGTCTGTGGTGTTAGAACCCTTTGGTGTGTACCTTGCTCCTCGAGGCGCAGGCTTCTCCCTGGGAGCCACCAGCTGTAAGAGGAGGTTGTATCGTGGCGAGAGTCGTATTTTTCAGTGAGTTTGGTGAGACTGGATCTCTGTTTTAGCATTACTGTTTTACCTCCCTCAGTTATATTGTGGTTGAACTGTTTATGCCTCGTTTGCTGTTTGTTACAGCTAATGCAAACCAGGAAGGGATTTTTATCATCTGCCTTGTTTTAAATATTTACATAGGGCTAAGCAAATGAGAAAATGTAAAGTGCTCGTTGAGCAAAATACAAGATGGGTTACCAAGTAAGTATTTAAAAAAAGAATGAAATGAATTGATAGAACCTGAAGATTTCTCAGGATACGAAGTGAGGAGAAATGCTAGAAAATGAGGTTCTGTACCGGTTGGGTGATAGTCTCAGATAAGCCTGAACACGTTCCTGTGAAGGAACTCCAGAGCTTCTCTGAATTGCCTTGTAAAGGCAAAGTACCTTTGCTGGCTCGAGTGCTTATTTGATTGCCTGTATGTAGATTTGTTGTCTGCACAAGTGTTATAACTTGATTCCTAACGATTCCTTCAAACTTGGATCGATTGAGGTAATCAGTCATCAGTTTGGGAGTGGACACATGCTGTGGTGGTAAGAGTGCAACTACAGACCAAAAGGTTTCTTCGGTGATTTTTTTTTTTTTTCCTCTTACTGATGAAACACTCACTCGTTTCAGGCTCACGCTGAGGACTCTGTAATGGATCATCACTTCCGCAAGCCAGCAAATGATATTACATCCCAGCTGGAGATCAACTTTGGAGACCTCGGCCGCCCCGGACGCGGTGGCAGAGGGGGACGGGGTGGCCGAGGGCGCGGTGGCAGGGCCAGCCGTGGAGGCAGAACTGACAAGGTAAGTAGCTACAGCTTTCCTCTGCAGAGGAGTTGAGCTTCAGTTCTTAGTGTTTCCGTGCAGATAGTTTTAGGTGTCTTTCTCATTTCTGGGAGAGTTTCTCCAACAAACACCGCATTTTAAAACCAAGTAAAGTGTCTGTTCTTACAAGCTTACTTTAAACCAGGTTACTGTTAGGACAAAAGGATGAATATTTTAGCAGTGTTCTTTTTTAAACACAAAAAAAGGAGGCTGAGGAGTAAGTTGGATTTAAAAAAAAAAAAAAGTGTCTGTCTTCATATCTGAACCTGAAAAATGACTCTTTGGTACAGACAGATCTGAATGTACTGTGAGATGGGTCTGTTTGTGCCAGAGCAGAGCCACAGGTGCTCGAGTGGGTATTTTCAGACACGGGAACAGTGTGGCTGCATTGTGACCTGTTGGGGGTGAAAGACTGGTTTTACAGCTGCATGTTTTATCATGAATTTGAGGAATTTAGAGTTTTCATATGGAAATAGGACTTACTGTTCTGGGTGGTTGTTTTTTTTTTTTCTACTCTGCAGTAATTTTTTTCCTTTTCTAGTCCTAAAGCCCCAAGGAAATACTCAGGAAGAGTACTGAATGGGGTTGGGGGGAGAGCACATAAAGTTGAAGTGCTGTAGTATAGCTACAGTAAAGATGTGATTTAATATGAATAGCTTAGTCGGCTTAAATGCATCTAATCAAATTGTTACTCACTGGAAAATGAGTCCAGTCTGTGTGGTGTAGCTTCCTTCACATAGACCACATTAGTTCATTTTTGTCTCCTCTAGGACACTGACTTTTTCCTCTTACACTGGATGGGTTTTATTAGTTGGAAAACTTTCCTGATAGCAACAGAAGAAAACATTAAGGAATTGAATTTAAATGGTGGCGGTGTTTGCTCTGAATTGTTTCACTAATACGGCATTTTGCTGCTTCAAGAATTCTGTCATAAAGTAGTTACAAACTTTTTTTCTCTGCAGCTTATTTTATGCTGACTTTGTTTATTTCCTTCCAGTTGGTTAAGGAGTTTGACGTGATCCACACACCCAACCAGGTTGGTGATCTCTCTGGCACTTGTGTTAACCTGTGAACAGGGGTCTCCTGCTGCAGGACTGTAACTCCCCTCCTGCAGTGGATTGGCTTCTTTTTTGGTTTGCTTTCTGCTTTTGTGCAGCGAGCAACCAGAGATACTAAGGCCTGTAGGCTTAAGACTCTGCTTTTACTTTTTAATCCTAGTTTGTGGGCTGGGTTATTATACAAGTGTCTTAGTCTTGCCTACAGGTGGTGTTGATATAACTTTTATTGGAATGGTTTAAATATATCTTGGGATAAATGTGTATGTTTACAGGAAACTCCACTATCCTGGCTCTTCCTGCTGTTCTCTTCCACATCCCTCATGGACAAAGTGAAGAGTATTCTAAAATACTTTAATTGCTGCATTTCATTGCAGCATTGGTCTTTAGGTGTAGTACAGAGCCTTTTTAAAAGTTCTGTTGGTTAACGTGGATTTCTAGGGCTAGGTTGGCACAAAAATTCTTCTGATTAACAGCTAGTTTGTGGCTGGGGAAGAATTAAATTTGTGCTACCAACAGGCCTTTTCTGTAACACTTTGGTTGTGTCCCTCGGTAAGAACTGATGGTTATGTGGTAGTAGAGTAGCATAAGCCCACATGCGGGGATCTCTTTAGGAATGGAAAAAGAGACGTAACCTTGTGTGATAATCGTGTGCAAACGTGGTCTGTTTGCCTGTGGTGCCCCTTCAGATAGCTTTGATTCAAAAAGTAACACAAGGAGACTTTCTAGTCCTTGGAATAAAAAGAAAAAAGTGTTGTTTACCATGGGGGGAAGAAAGTTGCTCTTGTAGTGATTTGTCCAGCACTAGGCTGCTCACTCTGCTCTACTGTGTACCTCTTGGAGCCCCAGTTTTTCCCTACTGAACAGGGCTGAGGTTAAAGTAGTTTTAAGTTAAAAGGAAGAATCCCCACCCCGGTTTTGTCTGGGGTGCAGGGGACTCCCTGTGCCTGCAGCTGCCCTGTGCCAGTGCCTCCCAGTCTGTCTGCCCAGGGACAGAGGCTTAACCTTGTCCCCGTGCCCGCAGCCGCTGCCCAGCCCTGTGCTGAGCACGTGCTGCCTGGCGAGTGGAAGGACCTGGTAATGTGTCAGGAATTAGAATCGTGGTGGGGCTCGATGCCGCAGAGGGTAATAACTTTCTGATGTTTCTCTTTCAGTCAAGTGCTTCTGCTCCTGATGTAGATGACCCAGAGGCTTTCCCAGCTCTGTCCTAAACTGGATGTCATAAGCCAACCCTGCCCTCGTCGGGCCTTCCTCTCCGAGGCTTGCATGCTTAAGGATCCTAAACAACTAAGAAATTTAAAAAAAAAAAAAAAAAAAAAAAAAAAAAAAAAAAAGAGACTGTCATTCATACCATTCACACCTAAAGACTGAATTTTATCTGTTTTGAAAATGAACTTCTCTCGCTACACAGAAGCAACAATATGGTAGTCAGTTTTGTATTTAGAAATGTAATGGTAGCAGGGATGTTTTCATAATTTTTTCAGAGATTATGCATTCTTCATGGATACTTTTTTGTATTGCTGCTTGAAAATATGCGTTTCCAAACTTGAAATATAGGTGTGAACAGTGTGTACCAGTTAAAAGCTTTCACTTCATTTGTGGGGTTTTTTTTTTTTTAATTCAGGATTTTAGACATTTTCCCCAAACTGCAGAGTGGGTTTTAATTATTGCACACTATTTCCATTTCCTTAATTCCTGTTTAGCAGATTTTTATCAGCCCATGGTCTTTTGGAATATGTGAAATTTTAATTTGGCAGACTGTTAGTGCTGTATGGAATACTAACTCCTGGAGTACTTTAGTTTTAATGCTTGATTTCAGACTTGGAAAACCAGTCATTTTTCATCTATGTTTGGTAGTTTGTTTACACAAAAATCTTTATACAAAATTGATACCAGATACTTGAAAAAGATTCAAAGCACATTGGTTTATAGTTAAATACCTGTGTATTGATCCAGCAATGATGTGTGGATAATTGGTCTAAACAAGTTTTTTTAAAGTTAATGTGTTACACCCTTCACTCACCCTTTTTAACTTTATTCTCTCCTCCTCCCTTCAACAGAACAAGATGCTTTGTTGGCAAAAAAAAGAAAAGGAAAAAAAAAAAATTTTAAATTACCTATGCTTTTTCTTTGAGAGGGTACCCTGCAGATTGGCGTAACCTTTCCCGTTGTTGGAGCTGGGAGGTGGGGGAAGGTGGTAGCCCTTGCCCCGTAGTCCGCCTGGACTCCGGCTGGGAGGTGGATTTTAGCAGCACGGGCTCTTGACACGAGCACATCAGGACCCGATAGACCCGCGGCAGCTCTGCCGGAGAAGAAACCGCCGTGGCCGGGGCTGGCAGGACCGTGGCCGGCGGGGACATCGCAGTCTGTGTGCGATGCGACAAAAGGTGCAAACCCAGAACCCCCAACGCTTCGCCTCTCCGTCAGAGCTTTGTTCTGGATTTGTGCAGTGTTTGAGATCGGATTGCTAGCTGACAAATGAATGTTGGTTGTTATTTTAATTTTTTTTTTTTTTCAGAGAGCGACTGTAAGAAACCCTTCCTACCCCCCCTGTAGAAATTCGCCGTAGGTTTAATTTAATCCCTGTGAACAAGAACATTACCACTTCAGTACGCAAAAGGAGTTGAGAGAGTGACTAATAAAGAGGGTTTCTTAGGGGTTTTATCTGCAGCATTTGTTAGGAGACTAGAAACAGGTTTCTCATTTTATTTAATGTTTTACACTTTGGACAGCTTATAACATATTTGTAGTTTCTTAACTAGGTAGATAGAAAACTAAAGGTAACGCCCTATTTTTTTAAAAGCTGTACAGGACAGGCAAAAAGTATTGGAGACCTTTGAATATGAAATATCAGACTCCTTAATTGTGGTGTTTAGCTGGCTTGCTTTACCTGAACTATTTTCTACAGAAGTTTTTGTTGTAAACCACTGTTAATATCATTGGATTTGACTTTTTAGTGCACTCACCTATAGTTTTAAGTACCAGGCTGTGAGAAGGAGGCAAGTTTTCAAACAGTGGATGGCAAAACCTCTTGGTTTGTTTCTCCTGACTCTGAGCTGATCTTACCCAGGTGCTCAGCAAGGGGGGGGGGT